TATGAATTTACGTTTACATATATATCTCAGCGTCTACCGATTCAAATTAAATGAAATTTTAATATATTATAGATTGAAATTATATCAAGATTATATGAAATTTTGAACTAATTCTGATCGGTGTATCTTGAGTTATACGATGTCAAACATGGTGTTCAGAGACTTTTAACGGCCCTCTGTAGTTAAATCTTCAATTTTATATGTAAATTTTTTTTATAATAATAAACAGAAAAAATGTATAAAAAATTTTTTTCAACATTTATAATTAAATTGTTTTCAAATTTTATTACTAATTAGTTATATTTTTAAAAAAAATGATTACTATCTTATAGAGACTTAAACCTTAAAACTTAAAAAATTGATAAATATTAATTTTTGTAATTATCAACATAAAACATAATTGAATTACTCACAAATTTATTTAAATATATATGTAAATAATGAACTTTTACTTTTTGAAAATTACAATTTTTTTAAAAAAAATGTGTTAACCAAATTTATTAATTTAGAAATGATAAATTTTTCTCAGAAATAAAAAATCAAAAATATTTATACTAAAATTAATATTCTCTATAATTTATGAAATTAAAATAAATTAAATAAACAAAATAAAACTGAGAATAGGAAAATCCTGATAATTTATTAATCAACAGTATTATAGGAATAGACAAAAATTTATTACCAATGATTCAGGTATATTTAAGGTTACTAGATGAAATTAAGCGTTTAGACAGACGTTTAAATGATAAAAGTAAAACTTGGTTAAATTATATTAAAACCTTATTAAAAATCTGCAAAATTTGAAAAAAAAGTAAAACTATATCAAAGCTTATAAAAATGGTGAAACTATATCAAACACTTAGTAAAAATTTAGCAAAACTAAAGGTTTAGGCATTTAGCCAAATCCAAAATAAGTTTAGACAAGCAATCTTACTTATATCTATATATTTATAAAGTATCTTAACATTTTTTTGATAATTATTATTTTGCATATAGGATTTGAAAATATGTATTCTAATCCTAAAATCATTTTTTGATTTATAAGATAATTAATATAATAATAAAAAATGTATAATATTTAGTGAGAATCTAAAATCACTTAATTTACTAATAATATAAAAAATATAAAAACTGATAAAAAATTCTAATTATTATTTTTACTTAACTTTTTGTAATATAGAAAATTAATTAATTAAAATAAAAGTATTATTTAATATGAAAAATCTGTGTAATTTAAAGGATATCAATATATAAGGTTTTTATAAAATATAGAGTTAGTATTTAGTTATATAGCCAATATTTAGCTATTTAGTTATAGTCAAATTTTTTTTTAAGTTTTAGCCAGTCAAATATATATTTATATTTTACTCATTTGACAATTCTAATTCAAATAAATTAAACAGCAATAACTTGATAATTAGTAATTATAAAAAGATGAAATATAGCTTATTAAAATTATTATAACAAGTTGCATCAATAGTAGTATAAAAAAGTTTTATAAGGTATAGATAAATAATTATTCTAAAATATATCAAATTATAATTTACTAATAACATATTATCCATATATAAGAAATAGTTAAAAGGTCAAAATAACATCATATTACATAATTTTTTATATAAAAATAAAAAATACATAATCTACATTATTTCTCATGAAACAACTTCTATTCAATTTCTTATGACTAAACAGATCCATTATGCTAAATAATATTAATTTTAAATCAGCTAATCTTGAGATAAATTATCAATTAAAATTATAATTTAATAAATTCTACTTAATCTGGATTTTAAAATTCTATTGTGATTATCTTAAGATTTGCTAATTCATTAATGAATATTAGCTCAATATATCTATCTAGCTATGAAGAATTAAATTAATATTATTTTATAAGAAATAGTATTATATTATTAAGATTATATATTTTATATTTTTTTAATTTTTATATATAAAAAATTATGTGACATTTGGTTATTTTGGCTGTTTGGTTAATTATTTTAGTTAATTAGCCAATTAGCCAAATCGGCTAATTGCTAAAAAAAATAACCTTGACTATAGCTAAATACCATTACTATATTAGATAAAACGCTATTTTTTATCTTACAACCCTTACAACCTTCCATTAAAAGTTACAATTAGGTATATTAAGATTGGCATGCCTCTTTGAATATTGACTTTTTTTTTTACTAAACTAGTTCTTCATTTAACACATTTGATTTTATGGATATTAACATGTATACAACAATTCGAACTAGATAAGAATGAGAATAAATACAACTTATGACATTTTAAATATACAACATAGTGATTAGTTGGTTTAAATTTGCCTATAACCTTTCTTGTTATACAGTATATAATGATGTAGGAAATTGTTATATCTATTTGAATCTTTATTACATAGAACTATCTCAATAAACTTACTCAGAGCATTGTAGCAACATCTGGTAACTGAAATAAAATTAAATTTAAAGATCCATATAAGTATACAAGAATACAATGAATTACAATCAGTTATATTATACAGTATATGGTTCTGAATCTCCTTCTACAATCCCGAGGTGTAAAGAAATTATAAGATTCGTCTATATTTTATTTTTTCATAATCATCATTATTACTTTCAGTATCAGTATCAAAAAGTTCTTTTAATTCATAAGTTTTTTAGAATCTTGATTCATTAATTCTATATCGCTTTGGACAAATACTTCTGGCTACATGAACTTATATCTATAAGGATTCTTTTTTTAGACCAACGAAATTCATTGCTATCGTTATGAAGAATTGGTTATCATAAATAAATTGGAGGGAGGTGTAAAACAGCCAGAATTGTAATGAAAATGGCACTCGGGGAATCTTTCGGTGCATTACTTGATAGAGATTGATTCTCTCGGGGATCATGCAGGAAATAGTAGTTTTACTTAGCAATGCTTTAGTATTACCTATTCTATTATTATTGATATATAAACAATCCATCCGAATATGATTTTCGATTTAGTACTAGATCGATATCGCGACACCATCATTTCCAACATTAGTAAAGATTGTGTTCGTGTCATGTATTAATATGTTATAGTGAATTTTCTTGATTTATGATATATATATATATATAACAAAATATTTCTCTTGATAAAATCGTACTTTTTCTTTTTTTTAAATTTTTTTTTGCAAGAATGAATGCGACAATAGAAATGACGTCATCGGCAGCGACACCTCTTCAGCATACGAGCGTTCTTCCCTTTATGTCGGACAAACAACTTGCATTGTTTGTTCCGGTCGTGATTTATTGGTTATATTCAGGGTTTTACCACCTCGTTTCAACTTATGAGATACCTCTTTTTGAAAAATATCGACTTCACAGTCTTATTGAAGTAGAAACAAGAAACAAAGTTTCACAGAGTGAAGTTATTCGAGCAGTTTTATTACAACAGTTTTTACAGACTATACTAGGGTTATTATTAGTAGTTGTTGAAGACGAGGATGCATTATTGGACGACGTGGTTGAAAAGATAGGCTACCAACAAATGTTAGCGTCTATATCAAAAACATTTGTTATATGGGATGTGCTTGAACCGTTCCATAATGCTATCGTAGAGACGTTATACTGGTTTTTAATTCCATTCTCACGGTTTCTTTTTGCCATGTAAGTTTCTGTCATCATTGCCATACCAAGTTAGTAGATTTACAAACGCATATGCTCTTTGATCTCCAATATTCATCATTCATAAATTAGGGTTTTTCTGGACACGTGGCAATACTTTATGCACAGGTTCTTTCATCAAAATAAATTTCTCTATAAACATATTCATTCATTACATCATAGATTACATGCTCCATATGCTTTTGGTGCACTTTATAACCATCCTGTAGAAGGGTTTGTGATGGATTCCGTAGGTGCTGGATTAGCGTTTAAATTATCAGGAATGACAACTCTTGGTGGAATGACTTTTTTTGGATTTGCAACATTTAAAACCGGCAAGTTTGGGTAATAAATTTTGATTTCCTTATCAAAATGTTGTGTGAACTTATTCTTTTCTGTTGTTACACAGTCGATGATCATTGCGGTTACAACTTGCCATTTAATCCGATCCAAAAAATCTTCGCAAATAATTCACTCTAGTAAGCTTTAATCTCTTTCCCTCATTATCATTGAAAATTTTTCGGTTTCTCTTACATTTCAATAATTTATTTGTAAGCCATGATATTCATCATCAAACGTACGGAACAAAAATGAATTATTCACAACCTTTCTTCACCATATGGGATCGAATTCTCGGAACTTATTTATCCGAATCTCCAAAAGTTTTATTATCAACGGGGGACAAATATCCTCCTCAGACGATCGCCATTCATAGCCTTACATTAAAGGACGATGGGATGATTGATGAACCCAGAGTCCATAAAATGCAACGAATCGTTTCTGTGAGAGATTCTCCTATCAGTTATAACCTGAGATCACGAAAAACTCTCTCGTCGATTTGAGCACGTGACTATACATAGAAATATTGATATTATTTATTTTACAATCATAAACTAATAAAAATAAATATGACTTTTTATGTCAATGAATTAATTGACATCCTATAAAAACGCCAAATTTTTTTAACATTACGCCGAATCAAAAGTATTTGATTATGTAATCAGCATGCAAGATAAACAAGTAAAAGATCTCGTTTCCTTGTAAAACACGATGAAAACGCGCGTATATATATATATATTTATTTAATAAAAAAACCAACCAATCGGTCACCCATAGATTATCATTTAAATTTTTCGGATTTCTATAAATGATGATTTAATAACGGTTGCATTTCTAGACTTTACCATTGAATATGTTTCGTCCGAGAAATATTTTTTGTTCCTCACTTTTTCCTTCTAAATTATCTTTAGTCAAAAGAAAACAACCATTTATAATTTCAAACAGAAAACATTCACAGAATCCTCCTGAAATTGCAAAATTATCGCTCACACAATATGGTCCACCAAACATTCATGAAAAATCACAAAGTCCAAATTTAATAATTCTTCATGGTTTATTCGGCTCAAAGCAAAATTGGAAATCGTTGGCTAAAACTTTCGCTCAACGATTAAATACGCATGTTTTCACTTTGGTATTTGCAACTATGTTTCCACATTATATCAAATTATTAACCTTTTAAATAATTATTTATGAATTAATTAATTAATCAAGGATTTAAGAAACCATGGAGATAGTCCACATTTATCTGTTCACAATTATGAAGTGATGGCAGACGATGTTGCAGCATTTATCAAAGAACATAAACTTAATAAAACCGTTGTAATGGGTCATTCTATGTATGAATACTTTAAATTTTCATCCTTAATAAAATGATAATAATATTTTATTTATTATTTATACAGGGGAGGAAGAGTGGCCATGGCCATGGCGCTTAGACAGGTACCACATATCGAAAAACTCGTGGTTGTTGATAGTGCTCCTATCTCTACTAGGATGCCTCCAAACTTCTCCACTTACATTGATGTAATGAAAAAAGTTGAACAAGCCGGAGTCGTAAGACTAGAAAAGGCTGATAAAATAATGGAGGATTATATTACCGTAGGTTCTTGTTAATCTATTGATCTATCGTTACCCCTTAAAATAACTGGCAAATCAATTTTTCTCCTATTTTAATAAATAAATGAAATGAAATAAAAAAAATAAAAAAAAAAATAGGACGTTACAATCAGACAATTCTTATTAACAAATCTTAAAAAAGATCACGGTACAGGATTATTTAAGTTTCGGATTCCTTTAGATATACTAGGCGATTCATTGGAAACATTGAGTGGATTTCCATTCGATTCGGCTCATCACACATTCCACAAAAAGACTTTGTTTATAGCCGGAACGAAATCAAATTATTTACCCCCAAAGGTAAGATAATTTTTTTTTTAAAAACAAAAAATATACGTTAGAATTAAATTTTTCTTTTAGGTTTATACAACAATACGAACTTTTTTCCCCAATGCGGTTATTGCAGAATTAGATGCTGGACATTGGGGTAATATTATTGTTTTTTTTTGTCTAGAATATCACAGGAGAAAAAGATAGATTAATTTTTTTTAAAAAAAAATAGTCCATTCAGAAAAACCGTTGGAGTTTATGACTATTGTGACGGACTTTTTACTTTAATAGGGTACCAAATTAACTCATTTTTGGTTTAAGCTACATACGTTACGTCATGATTGTCGATCGTACTACCTTCCGATTAAAGTAGCCTCTCGTTGTTTTTTAGACAATTTGTTCTCTTTCCAGTCACTTTTTTCTGAAAAATTATACTTTAATTAAATAAATTATCGATTCCAGTTTTGGTGTGATTACATTAGCAAAAAGTGAGAAAAAATAAAATGAAAAGACGCGGGCCTTATCCTTCCTTATGCCTGTTACTTTTTGGTGGAATTTTAATTATTTGTAATTTCTATGTCTTACCCGTGATATCTCAATTTGCTACGTTTGGTGGTAAACAAGTAGTTTTTACGGGTCCATTACTACCTCCTCAGAATCAAGATTCTTTTATTACAGATAAAAAAAGTTTAGAAGACCTGGATAATGAAGTTTTTAACGATATTTTACCAACAGTCTCTCTTTATACAAATCGTGGGGATGTTTTGCGGGTTGGATAAGTTTTTGATTCATCTTTTTGAATAACTTTTTTAAAAAAAAAATTAATAAATTCTGTCGTCTATAGACGGAAAGTCTTAATTGTAATATATGCCATTCAATTGCCTCGAAGATTGAACAATTTATGTTGTTAAATGTTACTCAAGCCGTAATAATCCAAGAAGGAATTCTTCTTTGTAAAGTGTTTAAACTTCAACCTAATCGTATGGTAAACACTTTTTTTTATTTTTATTTTTTTTATTTTTTTGATTAAATTTTCTTGAACATCATGTTTTTATTTCATAACCTAGTGTGAAGAAATATTACCAAAATTTGGGCCATGGGCCATGACAGTTTTGGCCAAATCTGTATTTTCAGCAGATAATCTATGTAGTAAAGCTCATTTATGTCCTAAAACTGATTTCGAAAAACCAGAAGTCATCGATCTTCCACCTCAAAGGCAACCTGTCGAATCCAGTACCACAACCAACACAAATGAATCATCCGATGATGTTGAGAAAATGTGGGTCGTTCATTTGAGTGATTGGCATTTTGATCCAGATTATTCTGAAGGTTATGAAGTTCATTGTGGTGAACCGATTTGTTGTCGACCACCTAATGCTTTTGGTGATAAGGCGACGACTCCAGCTGGAAAATGGGGAGATTATAATTGTGGTGGGTGTGATTAATTTATTAGACATTGAAATGGTGTGCATTATGATCTGATTGGTTTCGTGAATGTGAATTTTTTTTTTTTTTTTTTAGATATTCCCAAGAGGTTGATTGAAAGTATGTTGGAGTTTGTGCCAACTGTTGTACCGAAAATTGATTATATCCTATCTACTGGGTAAGTCACTCTTTATATTAATTATTAATATTATCAAGTTTTAATTCGAACAAATTTTACCAAACAAATTTAACCTCATTTAATGAATGTATAGTGACTTGCCCCCACACGGTATGTAGGAAAACTTTCCCTCAATGATTTTCATGATTAATAATAGCAAAACTGATCTATTATCGTGTTTTGAAGATGTTTGGGCGGAGACACCTTCATCGATAAAGGAAACAACAAATGAAACAACAGCTATTTGGCGTAAATTCTTTACATCAGCCCCATTCTTTCCAATTATTGGAAATCATGAATCGGCACCTGTAAATTCATTCCCAACATCATCAATCGATGATATTTCCTCAGTTTCATGGTTATATAATTCATTAGCAAAACAATGGAATGTTTGGTTGACTGACGATGCACTTGAATCTATTGAGAAAAGAGGATTTTATTCAGCTAGATTACCCAAAGATAATTTGCGTATTATAGGATTAAACACCAATTTCTGGTATAAATTTAATTGGTGGATGCTTATTAGACCACATGAAGAATGGGATCCCGAGCATATGTTAAAATGGGTTATTGACGAATTAGACGAAGCCGAAGGACTTGGAGAAAAAGTTTGGATTCTTGGGGTTTGTTTAAATATTATTTCACAATTAGGTTTATTATTTTACTTTTTGCAAAAAGAAGGAAAAAAAAAATCGGAATTAAACTATATTTAATTATGAATTATCTGGTATTATTGATATTTATAGCATATGGCAGCTGTTAGTGGAGATTCATTCCCATCATTTAATAATTATTTCTCTCAAATTGTCGCGAGATATAAAGACACTATTGTTGGACAATTTTATGGTATGCTTGAAATTAATCCTTGATTTTTTAATACTTTTTTGTATTAATGAATGGGGGCTTTCACGAAATCATTATTTCATAGGTCACACTCATTGGGATGAATTCCAAGTTATTTATGATTTTCCTAATGCCGAGAATGATGAACCACATCCAGTTGGAGTTGGTTATATGGGACCTAGCGTGACGTCGTTTAAAAATGTGAATCCAGCATTCAGGTAATTTAAAAGGTAGGATTATCAAATTCTTAATGTAAGTCTAATCTCTTCGTATTATTTATTTATTATTTATAGAATTTATGAAATGAACAAGAAAACCAAGCAAATTATAAATCATTACACGTATTATGCCGACATTGAAGAAGCAAATCGTAATGATCAACCCGAATGGAAATTATTATATGATGCCAAATCATTATATAAATTACAAGATTTGGAACCGCAGAGTTGGCATGGTAAATGAAATGTTCTTATATAACGCATTTTTTGAGTCTAGATAAATTCAACGGTTAAAATTCTATTTTAAAACAGATTTATCCGAAAGGCTCTTGACTGATGAGAGCGAATATCAAACATTTAAAAGGGTCGCTTCACGTAATCAAGCTTTGAATAAATATGGATCATGTCAAGCGTTGGAATCTCAACAACAATGTAAAAAACGAATTATATGTAAACTTAGAAGTACATTTTCAGGACATGGACCATATTCATCATATGAATTGTGTAAAAAACAAATGTGGATACCACATTTACCCGAAGATTGGTTCTTAACGGCCACACTTGGTAAAAAGGTTAATGTATTAGTTGATATGGATAGATTTGAAGAAGAAGGTTATGACAAATCTGTTAATGATGATAGTGAATCTGATGGAATCACTTTGGAAGGATTGCCTAGAACTATTGTTAGATTGATTTTGGAATTGGTTTTAGGTGGTGATGATGCTATTTGTAGATAAATGTCAAAAATTTTTTGTCCGATATTGATTTATATTATAAAATTTTATTTTATTTTATTTTGATTGTATTATTTTTTATGTTTAACAAGTCTAAAGAAAAAATTCAATTATTTATTTAAAAAAAAAAATTTTTTTTTTATTATTTACTCAATTTTCAAATTTCAAATTTTTTCACATTATATCATTATTGAGAAGAAATTCTTTTCACTAAATCATGTTATCATGTAGAGAAATAAAAATAAAGACCTTTAAATCTTATCAGAAAATAATGAAATTTTAACATTTCAACTGATAAAATTATTGTTAAATCATTATCTTTAATTATTTTAATGAAAAGGTTTAGAAATCATGGATATTAATATACCTTCTTTATCTTCCTTTTTTATTATCAAAGGTAAGCAATTAGAGAACAGTACATAAGTTGATCAATTAAACAAATTTTAAATGATGATCTGACCTTTAAAGCTTGTTATCAAATAACAAAATTACACTCCAATTTTTTTTATCTACTATGTTATAGAAATTTTTTTTTAAAAAAATCCAATCATAAAAAACAAATGTTATATATAACATTGAATTTCTGCATTTTAATGATTTTAATGATGTTTGTTTAAAATAGATTTAACATAAAATAGAATTTACAAACATTAAGCAATGAAAAAAAACCATTACACTTAAAATTTTATATTATGGATAATAGTTTCTTACAAAAATATTATTATATAAATTCATACTTAAAATTTAATCAAAATCATAGAAATTCTAATCTTAGTTACTGATACTAATATCTATGTTATTTTATTTTTTAAGTAAGATTGTATTATAATTACCAAAATCTGTGATAATAAAGTCATAATTATATATAATGTCTTTATCAATATAAGGCAATTTGAAAAAAAATAAATATTTATTTGTTCTCAATGATTTAGTTCAAGTTCACCTTTATATACTATTGAATAAAGAAGTTCAATTGAAATCAAATTTTTCTTTTGAACTTACTAATCTTCTTATAGATAATATTGTAATTATTATGTAATCAATATAATGACTTAGATTATTTCTAAAGCAAAATCAAATTATATAATTTATAATATGATATTTAATTTTAAAATACAAAAAGGTTTAATTATATTTAAAATTATAATACCTTTTTTTTCTTTTTTTTAGATCAAAATAAACTAATTTAAACAAATTTAAAATAAAACTTTATTATATCTTAAAGCTTTGCATAAGCCAGTCTAAATTGGTTTAACAAATAGCTCAACTAAGCTGATTTATTTTAGCTTAATTCAATTTGTCTCAAGTCTAAACTAAGTAAACTTGTGAGTCTAAGCTAACTTATTTGGTTTATATTATTAATAAAACCTGAAAAATATTTTTGAATGATTGAAAATGCTTTAATAAGTATTTTCTTTTAAAATAATAACTTTCTAAATATATTTTTTCAAGAGAAAATATCTTTAAAATGATTTTTCAAGAAAAAATATTACTAGAAGAATTCTTTTTAAGAGAAATTTCTGAAATAATTCTCTTAAAAAAAATGTCATTAAAACATTTTTTTAAAAAAGAAATGTTTCTTTAAAGAAAAATATTGCCAAAGTATTTTATTTGAAAAAAAATGCTTGGGAACATTAATTTTAAAAAATACTACTAGAGCATTAATTTTTAAAAAATGTTATTAGAGTATTTTCTTTAAAGAAAAATGCTACTAAAGTATTAACTTTGAAAAAAAAAGCTATTGAAGCATTAAAATTTAAAAATAAATTCTACCAGAATATTTCTATTAAAGAAAAATACTTTTAGAATGCTAACTTTGAAGAAAAACATTAGTATTGTTATTTGAAACCAAAATTCTGTAGTTTAAAGTCTAAACTATAGATTTTAGTTTTGAATTGTAACAGTAATTAGAATTTACTATTTATCATTACATATTCCTTAGACTGTAAAGCAGGTAAATTTGCCTGCAAAGGTAAAAAAAAAGTGTTAATTTCTTAATAAAATATTAAATATTAATTTTATTAATATCATTATTATATAAAAATTATAG